ATAATTATCCTGGTCTTTATTTAAGAAGGAGATGGTGATGGTAGGTGGTGGTGATGATGTTGAAAGTATAAACCTTCATAACTGAACAGCATGAGGAAACCAAGGGTTCCCACAGAGAAGTTACAAATCCAATTCATCAAATTAATGGACACTGGTTAGGCTATATGAACTAGTACAGCTCCTTTCAATCTGCAGAGAACTTATATATTACCTTTGTATCTTGTTAAAATTCAGATTCTGATTCAGGAAGTCTGGACTGGGGCCCAAGATTCTGCATTTCTAGCAAGCTAGCAGCTGCAGCTTTAACTGCTGCTTCAGGGACAAAACTCTGAGTAGCAAGGAATAGCAAAAGGGTCACAAGGTGTTGATGTGACAGTCGCAAGGGCATGGATCATCTCTCCTGCTTCCACATTCTACTCACAAAGAATGTCAAGAGGCCTTCTCAGAACCTGTCTCCTGTCCTTCCATGGGGCCATACTGGGGGAAGTTTAAGAGAGATCCTGGTTTGGAGGTCTAGACTAGGGTGAGGGGAGATGCCTTTTAGTATCTGTATTATCAAAGTTCTCAGCAGTGACTTGGGCTTGGGGCCAGAGCCATATTAAACAACATGCCTACCAATAACTCACAATCTCATCGGAGGGGTGGGGTTGTGGCCTGGGGCAAGATTCCAGTAGGCATTCATTCATCCACAAATCTTTACTGAGCACCTGCCGCATACCTGTTTCTATGCTGGCATGGGGTCTCTGGCCTTAATCCCATCTAATAGTGTCCTCAATTGCACCACAAGCTATTGCAGACTGATCACATAGATGACACTGTAATTACATGGAAATAAGTTGGAGAATCAATGGATATGTTCTATTCTTTGTATGAATAATGGTTGTAGTAGACACTATTTGGTACCTACACAATATCCATTCTCCTTTCTTGCTGGTGGGAACCCAGTTCTGTTCAGTTCTTTATTTTCCTACATGTGACTCCACTGGGGTAACACTGTTAGAGTGGGAATGAGCTCTTATCAGTTCATGAGAGATGATTGCTAAATTTTCAGGAAGTTTCAGAGTCCATTAAACACAGTCATTATTAAAAATAAAGTTATTTAAACTTATCAGTTAATAAATTATATTTTTAAATACTCAAAACTTATCACTTCCTAATCATTTAGTGCATTGTACTATTAACTATGCTCTGTATATATGGTGGGAATAATTTCTAACAGTGTGTTACTGTACATCTCTTCCAAACTCTATGTCCAGTAATATCACATTAGTAGCTTGAATTTTGCCATGATGGGTGTACGTACAACACAAAAATTGGCACATGCTATAAATCAGAGCTTTGATCTTTTTCTTGGGTAAGCCAGTTATTAAACATTTACAAGCACACCACTGGGTAACCTTATCCCTAGCTTCAGGGGAAAATTTTAATTGGCCTAAGTTAAAAATAGTAGCTCTGTTTCTCTTCCTATAGATGTGTGACCCAATTGGGAACAATGAAAGATGAAAGTGGCTTTTTTTGGGGAGAGTTTCTTGGAAGGCTTTTCTTCTAAAAAGGAGACAAAGGGTAGAGAGGGGCTCTTTCTGTTTCTGGCCATGTTGATTTTTTTTTTTTTTTTTTTTTTTACAAATAGTTTATTGTCAAATTAGTTTCCACATAACACTCAGTGCCCATCCCCCCTCCCCCCCACATCCATCAGTCCTCAGTTTTTGTCAGCATTCAAGAGTCTCTCATGGTTTACCTCTCTCCCTTTCCCCCACCATTTCCGCCCTTCTTCTCCCCCTTGGTCCTCCGTCAAGTTCCTCCTAATCCTCCTATACGTGCAAACATATGATATTTGTCCTTCTCTGCCTGACTTATTTCGCTCAGCATAACACCCTCAAGGTCCATCCATGTTGCTACACATGGCCAGATTTCATTGTTTCTCATTGCCATGTAGTATTCCATGGTATAGATAAACCACATCTTCTTGATCCATTCATCTGTTGATGGACACTTAGGCTCTTTCCATGTTTTAGCTATTGTGGAGAGTGCTGCTATGAACATTGGGGTACATGTGCTCCTATGCCTCAGCATTTCTGTATCCCTTGGGTAAATTCCTAGCAGTGCTATTGCTGGGTCATAAGGGAGTTCTATTGTTAGTTTCCTGAGGAACCTCCACACTGTTTTCCAGAGGGGCTGTACCAGTTTACATTCCCACCAACAGTGTAGGAGGGTGCCCGTTTCTCCACATCCTCGCCAGCATCTAGAGTTCTCTGATTTGCTCATTTTAGCCACTCTGACTGGCGTGAGGTGGTATCTCAGTGTGGTTTTGATTTGTATTTCCCTGATGAGGAGGGATGCTGAGCATCGTTTCATGTGTCTGTTGGCCATCTGGATGTCCTCTTTGGAGAAGTGTCTGTTCATGTCTTCTGCCCATTTCTTCACTGGGTTGTTTGTTTTTCGGGCGTGTAGTTTGGTGAGTTCCTTATAGATTCTGGATATTAACCCTTTATCTGATATGTCATTTGCAACTATCTTTTCCCATTCCGTTGGTTGCCTATTAATTTTCTGGGTTGTTTCCTTGGCTGTGCAGAAGCTTTTAATCTTGATGAGGTCCCAACAGTTTATTTTTGCTCTTGATTCCCTTGCTTTTGGGGATGTGTCAAGTAAGAAGTTGCTGCGGTGGAGGTCAAGGAGGTTGTTTCCTGCTTTCTCCTCTAGGGTGTTGATAGTTTCCTGTCTCACGTTCAGGTCCTTTATCCATTTTGAGTTGATTTTTGTGCATGGTGTGAGAAAATGATCTAGTTTCATTCTTCTGCATGTTGCTGTCCAGTTCTCCCAACACCATCTGTTAAAAAGGCTGTCTTTTTTCCATTGGATATTCTTTCCTGCTTTGTCAAAGATCAGTTGGCTGTATACTTTTGGGTCCACTTCTGAGTTCTCAATTCTGTTCCATTGGTCTATGTGTCTGTTTTTGTGCCAATACCATACTGTCTTGAGGATGACAGCTTTGTAGTAGAGGCTGAAGTCTGGGATGGTGATACCTCCCGTTTTGGTTTTATTTTTCAGTATTACTTTGGCTATTCGGGGTCTTTTGTGGTTCCATACAAATTTTTGGATAGTTTGTTCTAGTTTTGAGAAGTATGCTGGTGCAATTTTGATTGGAATTGCATTGAATGTGTAGAGTGCTTTAGGTAGTAATGACATCTTAACTATATTTATTCTTCCTATCCATGAGCATGGAATGTTTTTCCATTTCTTTGTGTCTTCTTCAATTTCCTTCATAAGTTTTCTATAGTTTTCATCATACAGATCTCTTGTATCCTTGGTTAGGTTTATTCCGAGGTATTTTATGGTTTTTTGTGCAATTGTGAATGGGATCAGTTTCTTGATTTCTCTTTCTGTTGCTTCATTGTTGGTGTATAAAAATGCAACCGATTTCTGTACGTTGATTTTGTACCCTGCAACTTGGCTGAATTCTTGGATCAGTTCTAGTAGGCTTCTGGTGGAGTCTGTCGGGTTTTCTATGTAGAGTATCATGTCATCTGCGAAGAGTGAAAGTTTGACTTCCTCTTTGCCAATTCTGATGCCTTTGATTTCCTTTTGTTGTCTGATGGCTGATGCTAGGACTTCCAGCACTATGTTAAACAACAGTGGTGAGAGTGGACATCCCTGTCGTGTTCCTGATCTCAGGGGGAAAGCTCTCAGTTTTTCCCCGTTGAGGATGATGTTAGCTGAAGGCTTCTCATAGATGGCTTTGATGATGTTTAAGTAGGTTCCTTCTATCCCAACTTTCTCGAGAGTCTTTATTAAGAAGGGATGCTGTATTTTGTCAAATGCTTTTTCTGCATCTATTGACAGGATCATATGGTTTTTATCTTTTCTTTTATTGATATGATGGATCACATTGATTGATTTGCGAATGTTGAACCAGCCCTGTAACCCAGGAATGAATCCCACTTGATCTTGGTGGATGATTCTTTTGATATGCTGCTGGATTCGATTTGCAAGGATCTTGTTGAGAATTTTTGCATCCGTATTCATCAAGGATATTGGCCTATAGTTCTCTTTTTTTGTTGGATCTCTGTCTGGCTTGGGAATCAGAGTGATGCTGGCTTCATAAAATGAGTCCGGGAGTTTTCCTTCGACTTCTATTTTTTGGAATAGCTTGAGAAGAATTGGGATTAATTCTGTTTTAAATGTCTGGTAGAATTCCCCAGGGAAACCATCAGGTCCAGGGCTCTTATTTGTTGGGAGATTTTTGATCACTGATTCGATTTCTTCACTCGTTATGGGTCTGTTCAGGTTTTCTATTTCTTCCCGTGTGAATTTTGGTAGTGAGTGTGTGTTTAGGAATTTGTCCATTTCTTCTAAGTTGTCCAATTTGTTGGCATATAATTTTTCATAGTATTCCCTGATAATTGCTTGTATTTCTGAGGGGTTGGTTGTAATAAGTCCATTTTCATTCATAATTTTGTCTATTTGGGTGCTCTCTCTTTTCTTTTTGATAAGCCTGGCTAGAGGTTTGTCAATTTTGTTTACTTTTTCAAAAAACCAACTCTTGGTTTCATTGATCTGTTCAATTGTTTCTTTGGTCTCTATGTTGTTTATTTCTGCTCTAATTTTTACTATTTCTCTTCTTCTACTGGGTTTAGGGCGTTCTTGTTGCTCTGCCTCTAGCTCCTTTAGGTGAGCTGTTAGATTTTGGACTTGTGCTTTTTCTAATCTCTTGAAATAGGCCTGGAGAGCAATGTACTTTCCTCTTAGGACTGCCTTGGCCGCATCCCATAGATTTTGAATTGTTGTGTTTTCATTTTCATTTGTTTCCATATACTTTTTAATTTCATCTCTAATTGCCTGATTTGGCCATGTTGATTTCTATATGTGTTTAGATTTTCACAGGTTGTAACCAATGCCAAGGCAGGATTAACATGTATTTTGTTGATCTTGTTTTTATTTTTACTTTCTTGGATCTCATGTTCTAAGAAAAAAATTATATGTATTTTTGATATTTTTTCTAGAGGGGACCCTAACAGATGTGACATCTGGGGAAATACTCCCCTGCATTATGCAGCCTCCAATGGTCATACCCACTGTGTATCATTCCTGGTCAACTTTGGTGCCAACATCTTTGCCCTGGACAACAACTTACAGTCTCCACTGGATGCTGCTGCTAGCAGAGAGCAGAATGAATGTGTTGCTCTCCTGGATAAGGCTGCCACTGCCCAGAACATCATGAACCCCAAGAAAGTTACCAGGCTGAAGGAGCAGGCTCAGAAGAATGCCAGGAGGCAGATCAAAGAGTGTGAGAGGCTCCAGGAGAAGCACCAAAATAAGATGGCTCGCACCTATAGCAAGGAGGAATCTGGGACTCTTTCTTCTTCCAAGGATACTTTCTCCAGGTCATCCCTTTCAAATGCTTCTTCATCTGGTACATTTGGGTCAGTATCTAAGGGCATTAAAGACACCTTCAAGATAAAGTTCAAGAAGAACAAAGATACAGGAGAGCAGGTAGGGAAGGAGAGCAGAAATGGGGAGAAGAATGTGATGGAAGTGTTCAGAGAAGAGGAAGAAGACACATTCTCAGAGGACTTCAAAGGGAAGCTCCAGTTCTTACAAGAGGAGGACAGATGTGTGCAGCACGAGTCCATTCTTAACCGTCCGGGTCTAGGAAATATTGTTTTTAGAAGGAACAGAATATTAAGTCCTGAAGAGATCTCAGACAGCAGGAGGGAGTTAGGATTTAAAATGTGCAGTGAATTGCTTCAGAGACCAGAAGCAGCAGAGGCTGATGAAGCTGAGGCTAATAAAGAGGGAACAGAAAACAGCCATGAAGATGATCTGCCTTGGGATGAGGATGAAGTGGAGTGGGAGGAAGATGTGGTTGATGCTACTCCTCTGGAAGTATTTTTGCAGTCCCACCACCTGGAAGAATTCCTTCCCATTTTCATGAGAGAGCAGATTGATCTAGAAGCTCTGTTGCTTTGCTCTGATGAGGACCTTCAGAGTATACAAATGCAGCTTGGTCCCAGGAAGAAAATTCTCAATGCCATAAATGGAAGGAAGCAGGTGCTACAACAGCCTGGGCAACTGGTTGACACCAGCCTCTGATGGAGTATTGGGTCCACAGGGTGAACCTGCAGCAATGGGGCAGTGCTGTGGCCCACTGGAAACACTCCAGGCAACATCCCCTGTATGCCCAATGCCAGGCCACTGGGAATGGTTCCTAGGGTTTTGGAAATGCACTCCTAAGGAAGATGCCCACACTGTACTTTGAGAAATACTCTGCCCCTGTCCAAACAAACCACCAGTGAGCCACTCAAGGAGATCTGGGAATAAGAAAATGGAATTTTCTCTTCAATTATCTTTTTGATATTTTTGAATATAGAAAGGGTTAAATGACAGGCAAGGGAAAAACTCTTTGCTTTTCCAACTCTGGACTTTAAAATTATAATCTCTTGTCACACAAGTGTGCTGCTTACTTTCTCATCCTCAGAGACTGGGGACTCCAATTCCAGTTCTGTTCTTAGCTCTATAACTTTGTCTGTTGGAAGAGACTTGATTTCTTCCACTGGCCTCAGGCTTCATGTCCAACTTAAATATGTTTAAGCCCCCAACATATATTTACATGTTTACAAGTAATGGATACTCCTGCCTGGGAACAGAGGCAGAGTGGCAGGTGGGGAGAGTGAAGAAAGAAATATAATACAGGGTACCTATTATGTAATATGAATTGCATCTCCCTAAAATTTGTATGTTGAAGCTTTATGCCTCAATATAACTGTATTTGGAGATAGGACCTTTAGAGAGGTGATTAAAGTTAAATGATGTTATAAGAGTCACAAATGGATGGTGTCCTTATAAGAAGAAGAGACAGGGATGCACACACACAGAGAAGAGGCCATGTGGGGACACAGCAAGAAAGCAGCCATCTGCAAACCAAAGACAGATGCTTCAGGAAAAACCAAGCTTTCCAGTACCTTGATCTTGCACTTCCAGTCTTCTGAGCTGTAAGAAAATAAATTTCTGTTGTTTAAGCCACCCAGTCTGTGGTATTTTGTTATGGCAGTCTTAGCAGACTAAGACTAAGGCGTGGAGAGAAAAGAAGGATACCGAGATGATGCCCTATTTGATGATTTTTTTAAAAGCCCTATTTGATGATTTTTTAAAAAGCTAAGTGACTTCTGAAATGTAAAAGAATGGTGAAACAATCTAGGTCATTTGTAGGGAAAAGTTGATTGTGAAAGGAAATTTTAGTTTTATGCTCATTATGTGCATACCTTTTTTTATGTGGTTAAAAAATTTTTATTATGTTTATTTTTTGAGAGACAGAGAGAGATAGAGTGCAAGCAGGGGAGGGGCAGAGAAAGAGGGAGACACAGAATTTGAAGCAGGCTCCAGGCTCTGAGCTGTCAGCACAGAACCTGACATGGGGCTTGAACCCATGAACTGTGAGATCATGACATGAGCCCAAGTCAGATGCTTAACCAACTAAGCCACCCAGGCACCCCTATTATGTACATATCTTTTTTACTGTTGTCTGCCACCATGGCCACATGTCTGAATATGTGTAAGTTCTACAATATAAATTGGCAGCATTGCTGCTGACATTTTTGAATAGCAATCCCAAATTCAGATTGAAACCCTACTGAATAGCTAAGTTTCCCTGGATTTTTATAGCCAGGCTTACATCAAGTGGAATTTACCATTGACTGTGCGTACAATACAGAAACAGCTGTTCATCTTCGGCATGGTTCCTCATGCACATCTGTTTGGGTTATTTCAAGAGCACCCATGGAGAAGATAAGCTTAAGGAGGATACAGATGTGTAAATCTGATGAACAATTGGCTCATTCTTCCTCAACGGATAGATTCAGAAAGATTGTCAGTCATGGAATAAATATGTTGCACTAGGGGATGATCATGTTTACAAATACTGCATTTTGTCGGTCTGGAGTAGACTGAAGCTGTATTTGCTTTCAAAAAAATGTGCACACAAGCAGTTGGCACATAGAAGACAACCAGATAAAGTTTGTTGTGTCTGAGCCTGCCTATATAACTACTTCATTATTGTAGATGCCAACATCCTCTCTCCACACGTTCCCCAGAATCTGCCCAGTGAGACACTGGTTCCTAGGATGTATGAGAAGCAGAAGCCACTGGGGTGGGGGAGGGAGGAAGTACCACTGTTAACAAAAAGGATGAGTTCTAGTAGTACTTTGTACATCACTGTCAGAGGTAAAAGTAATATAGAAAGCTTTTGGCAATACATTCTAGCAAATGAGAGGCAGTGTGAGGTGATACGAAGAATTGTGAGCTGGAAACCTGCATTGCTGCATGGATAGAATATCATGTTATGGAAATGGGAAGATACTTCTTTGGGAGAATGAGAAAATCCAGTGGAAATATTACTGGAAGTCAGCCTTAAAGGATCTCCTTCTAAGTGCTTTGTGGGAGTTCCTCATTTCCATGCTGGAAAATTCTCCTACTGGAGGCATAGCATTTGACTCAGAAAGTACAGGAAGGGGAATGTTTGTTTGTCCAATAGAACTGGAAGCTCTCACCAAGACTACCCTCCTGGCCTTAATGTCAATCTTGTGATGAAAGAAGGGGATATGAATTTGAAAGCCATGTGGATTATACAATGTCACATGAAAATGCCATCAAAAATTGCTGAATTAAAAGAAGGGACCAAACGTAATCCCGTTATGTCATCACAGTGAATAATCATAAACCTCTGTGAGGCCATAATGGGTTGTCAGAGTTGTATTTTTTTCAATAGCTGAATTTTATTTTTATTAAGATAACCCAGCTTGTAGACTCCATTGGCTCGTCTACAATTCCCTGAACATTTCCTGTTGTTCCCTTTAAAGAGTAAATACCAGGTCTGCAATTATCACAAAAATTGGCTAAAAATATATGAATGGAACAGTGAGAATTACCTTGGGTCTTATATGTCAGGACGCAAAGAAGGTGAAGTAAAAGGTTTCCACTACTGAGAACTTTCCTACGCCCACTTCCCTGTTCTTAGAAGCCAGGTTCTTCCTTACTACAAGGAAAGCTCCTTGGAGACAGGGAGTTTTCTCTGTCCTATGTTCACTGACATATCCCTCTCACCAAGTGCTGGTCTGTCATATAGCAGATGGTCAATATATATTGTTGCATAACTGGATGTGATGCCTAGACTGGAGACAAGATGCAAATTATGTGGGGCTGTTGATTCCTAGGAGTTTCATTGAATGTAGTGTCTCACATGGCATCTGAGGGTGGGGGTGTGTTATGCGAAAGCAAAAGGAGTAACTTTGAAAGGAAAAACTTTCTCCCCATTGCGCAAACCACTCTCAATCCATTTTCTGCCTCAACTGTAAAATAGTTGTAGGGAGTCATCAGTCAGGTTGGAGAAATGAATCTGAACATGTAGGTCCCACCTCTTTTTGGGAGATGTTTGCTATTGGGCATCTCACCAGGCACTTTTATGCACTTCTTGTGGGCTCTTGGCCTCTTATGACTTATTTACAGAATCAGTATGTGAGTGTTCTCCCAACTTATCATGAAGGATATAGCCTCTCCATCATGACACATTGCTATAAAAAAGTCTTATACCATATTATAAAAGGTTATGACTCTTATAAGAATTGTAGATGTTTCAAACTAAAAGAAACGAAAGAGGTCTAAGGGAGGAAGCTAGAGCAATATAAATGCCTTGTCTAGAGACAGACTGGAGGATTATAAACTGGGATGAGTTTAAATATTCACTGTACTCAGACCTCCATCCCTTAAATTGGATGCTTATCCAGTGCTATCAAACTCCTCATTGACCTTGGTTCTTTCTCTTTCTGTCTCCCTCTCTTTATGTGGTCTGACATAAAAGTCTATCAGAAATTTTAAAAATAACATTTCATTGAAGGAGTTTGGTGTGGCAAACACATACCATGCTTATATCTCAAGCCGTCAGGTTAAACACATCAGTTGTATGCTTGCAATTCCTAAATCTGAATAACCAACCCAGACCATTGTTTTGAGCTCCAAATCCATAAGCCTGAGTGCTTATCTGACATCTCCTCTTGAATGTCTCACAGGTACCTCAAACTCAGTATGCCCAGAACTAAACCCATCTTCTCCCAAGTCAGTGGTTCTTAACTAGGATAATTTTGCCCCAGGGACCTCTCGTAATGTCTACAGACATCTTTCATTATCGTGAGTTGGAAGGCAGGAGGTTGCTACAGGTATCTAGTGGCTAGAAACAAGGGATGCTAAACATCCTATGGTGCATAGGACAGCTCCCCACAACAAAGAATAATCTGAACCCAAATGTTGATAAAGCAGACACCAAGAAACCCAGGGCTCTATCTATTCTTCCTCTTTTGATGAATGGCATGTTTAACTTAACAAGCCTCTAATCTCATCTCTGGCCATTCCTATCTCTGTCTCCTAATTACAGCCACATCAGGTTTCTTGTAGCTTCCTGAATATAGCATGCTTCTTCTATGCCTGTGCCCCTACACACCATCATCTCTCTTCCTGGGAAACCCTTTCTCCATGTAGCCAACTCTCTTGGGAGACTCACCCTCTCTGCCTGCTGCTAGTCTGGGTTGGACAGTCTTCATAGCTGTGCAGGTCATCTTCTGTTTAACCTCCAGAACCTCTCTCTACTATTTTCCACCCTCCTCTGTGTCCATTGGCGACCTCTGTGGACTGTCCCTGGACTTCGGATTGGGTTTGGCCAGTGGGAGGAAACATCAAGAGACCAGAGAGTGGGAGGAAAGAAAGACTGAAACATTTACTCCACCTCACTTTTCCTTGTGGGGCCACAGCTGCCTCCCTTCATCTAAGCCCACAGCCCCTGTTTGGCAGCCCTCTGCCCTAGCTCCAGTGCTTGCTGGGTTCCCTAACTGCTCATGCCAGCTCAGCAAGTGGGGGTAGGGGAGTAGCAGCTTCCTTCTGTGGCATGCTTCACCATCCCCTCTGCTTCCTGTAACTCTCCCTTCTCCTTTTGCAAAGTCCCTTCATTGAATCCACTTCAGTCACCCCTTTTGAGTACAGCATCAATTTCCTGCTGGGAACCTGACTATATGTTCCTGTAACACTGAAGCAAGGTACTGTAATCATCTTGTTACATCTCTGTTTTCCAGACTGTGTGCTTTTTGGGGCAAAGCCTGTTTAAAAAATTTTTTTTCTAATGTTTCTTTATTTTTTGAGAGAGAGAGAAAGAGAGAAAGAAAGAGTGCAAATGGGGGAGGGACAGAGAGAGAGAGAGGGAGACACAGAATCCAAAGCAGGTTCCAGGCTCTTGAGCTGCCAGCACAGAGCCTGACACAGGGCTCGAACTCATGAACTATGAGATCACACCCTGAGCCAAAGTCGGATGCTTAACTGACTAAGCCACCCAAGTGCCCCTTGACTGTTTTTTTTTTTAATTGAAGTATAGTGGACACACAATATTAGTTTCAGGTGTACAACATAGTGGTTCAATAATTACGTACTTATGAAATGCTCAACCATGATAAGTGTAGTTACCATCTGTCACCATACAACATTACTGAAATATTATTCACTATATTCCCTATGCTGTACTTTTCATCCCCATAACTTATTTTATATCTCAAAGTTTGTGTCTCTTAATTCTCCTCATGATAACTGTTTCTTTTCTATTGTGCCATGGTGGCATAGGGGCTCTTATGGAAAGATCAAAAGAAGAAATCTATGAATTATTTTAGGCACTTAAAAATTATTTTAAATTCCAATATAGTTAACATATGTTATAGTTAACTATAACTATATGTATATATAGTTATATATATATGCCTCAAAACCATAGTTATATATATGCCTCAAAACATATATATAGGCCTCAAAACATATAGTTTCCATTCATCTCTCAATTGACACTTGAGCTGCTTCCATAATTTGGCTATTCTAAATAATGCTACAATAAACATAAGGGTGCAAATATCTTTTTGAATTAGTGTTTTTGTTTTCTTTGGGTCAATACCCAGTAGTGAAATTGCTGGATCATGTAGTCATTTTATTTTTA